CAGCGGCTCATGGGGACATTTTGCAGGCGGCTTTCCAGGACTCCTACCGGAATCTGACCCTCAAGACCCTCAGCGGGCTGAACTGGGCAGACAAACACTGCCCCAGAGCCCGCTACATCCTCAAGACTGACGATGATGTGTATGTCAACGTCCCGGAAATGGTGTCAGAGCTGGTCCTGCGAGGGGGCCGTTGGGAGCAATGGGAGAGGGACACGAAGTCCCAGAGAGAGCCTGTTGCTGAAAACGAAGAGGGGGAAGGCCAGGCCTTGGTGAACAAGGCAGTGCCCCTCCTGTACCTGGGCCGCGTGCACTGGCGGGTGAAGCCCTCTCGGACACCAGGTGGCAAGCACTGGGTATCAGAGGAGCAGTGGCCTCACACCTGGGGCCACTTCCCACCCTACGCCTCCGGTACAGGGTATGTGCTGTCAGCTTCTGCTGTGCAGCTCATCCTGAAGGTGGCCAGCCGGGCACCACGCCTGCCCCTGGAGGATGTCTTCGTGGGGGTGAGTGCCTGGCGAGGCGGCCTCGCCCCAACCCACTGTGTCAAGCTGGCTGGCGCCACGCACTACCCCCTAGACCGGTGCTGCTACGGTAAATTTCTGCTGACGTCCCACAAGGTGGACCCCTGGAAGATGAAGGAAGCCTGGAAGCTCGTGGGAGGCTCTGACGGGGCGAGGACTGCACCCTTCTGCTCCTGGCTCCAGGAAATGCTGGGCATCCTCCGGTGTCGGGTGATGGCCTGGCTCTATAGCTGACGTCCAGCTGGCCCCCAGGACCTTCCTAATCCTAGGCCCAGGGCGGGGCCCTAGCTGGCTGCAGCTCACCGGTTTCTCATACCAGTCCCTGTATCACCAAAGACAGGCACCTGGGGAGACCCTGGGGCCTGGCCTGCCAGCCCCAACGTTGGCCATCAGGAAGAAGGGACAACAATGCTAGCGTTCTCTCTAGTCAGAGACCCCCCAATAAACTTGTCTCTCCACCTCCTGGAGTGCAGTGTGGTCTTCACCAGGAGCCCCAGAACACAAACCTGGTGCCGAGGTGGCCAGAACTTGGTGGGTGGGAAGAACATCTCCCCAGACACACATGAGGGGGAAGAGGATGGTCTCTCAGGAGGAAGGGCCGTAATGAGCATGGCTACAGCCATAGCAGCCACAGGGATAGGCAGGACACCAAGGACCCCTCTGTCCTAAAACAGTGCATGCTGAGTAAGAGGGAACAGGTCCACAGGATGACTGACATTATTTAAAATAACCCTTTCCTCTTTAATAACCCGCCCCAGAGGTCACTGTCCACACTCAGCTGTGGAAGGGGACACAACACCCCCTCATGGTTGGTAACAGCTGCTTCCCTGTAGGCGATCTTGGGAGAGATTTTCCCCAGGCCAGGCTAGAGCCTGGCTCAGCGCACGAATCTGTCCAGGGCAGATGGCCTGGCCCCCATGGGCTTTGTCTTCCCTTCCTTCTGCTGCTGCTGTTGCTGCTGCTGCTGCTGCTGCAGGCTCTGTCGGACCTTTTCCTGGGGACGGGAGGGGAGGCACAGGGTCAAGAAAATCAGTGGCAGGAAGCCCAAGGCCCAGAGCACAAGCAGAAAGGGGTGCAGCCTGGAGGAGGCCTGGCCCTCCCCATGCTTACCCTGTGCTCCTCGTCCAGGACCTTCCTCTTCCTCTTCACCAGGCTCGCAGTGGAGCTGCGGCCCTTGTGCTTTGGCTTGGGCTGGAAGGGAGCTTTGGCATCGGGGTCATAGCCCTGAGTGGGGGAACAAGAGTGGTATGTAACAGCCTCACAGATAGGGAAGTGGCAGCACCCAGCAGCTATGCCACCCTTCTGGGGACAGGCCCGCAATGCAGACAGGATTCGGGCATGAGCAAGGGCCCGAGCCCCCGGGCCTGCTACATACCAGCCTCTCTATCCGCTCCTTCTTTGCCTGTTCCAAAGAGATGACATCGACCTCTGCCAGGGCTCGCGGGTCCAAGCAGATGAGCTCCGCAGGTACCTGGGGGTTCACAGGACAGTGGTATCTGAGACAAGCCAGGGAGGCTACGGAACACTTCCCGAGGTTCCCAGCAGGAGTACACTGGGAGCTTTCCTACCCCCAGGCCTCCAAACTGCACTTGGACCAGGACAGCCTCACCTTCTCCAGCAGGGCCTTCACCTCCCACTCCTGGCGCTGCTTCTGGTGAGCTCCGCAGGTACCTGGGGGTTCACAGGACAGTGGTATCTGAGACAAGCCAGGGAGGCTACGGAACACTTCCCGAGGTTCCCAGCAGGAGTACACTGGGAGCTTTCCTACCCCCAGGCCTCCAAACTGCACTTGGACCAGGACAGCCTCACCTTCTCCAGCAGGGCCTTCACCTCCCACTCCTGGCGCTGCTTCTGGCTCCTGTAAGGGTTACTCTCCAGGCCATCGAAGTTGGGTTCAGC